AGGCAGAAAATCATTGCACTTAGTCGAAGGAGAATTCTGGAACGGAGGAAAAGCCGTTCCCTGGCCGTTGGCAGCCCGGTTTACGTGTGAGTAATTCTGTTCTGGCTCCGAAGAGCAAGTAGCAATTTATCTTTCCCCTACACGAGGCTGTCGTGCTACAAATAGCCTGTGCGCCCTCCGCTCATGTCGGAAGGGGGGGGAGAATCAAGAGCAACTCAAACAGGATCACCCCCCCCTCCCGTTTTGCTTCTCTCCTCCCCCCTCCCCACAGTCATTCCACCTGGGACATCAAAGGGGGGAAGAGAAGGCATCAAATTCCCCCCCCCCAACACTTACCAATCTATTTGGAGTGGTTACCTTGAATGGATAACTTTTTTTTTTTGGATGAAGCCTTAACCAAAGTGTTTTTGGGGTTGACTCTTTCCAAAAACTTAAATGCATAGAAGATTTCTCCTGGCTGCCATTTAACATCCTGCCTGGCAATTTGAGAGGACGCAGTCTCTCTCCCCTCCCCACCGTTACCTCCTTATTTTGCACAGTATTTCAGAACCTAGTGCAGGGACCAAAAGCCTGTCGATCTCCAACTGTTCGTAGATTGCCCAGTTGTTTATAGGTCTCAAATCAGTCAAAATGCCAAATGTTAGCCTTACAGAATGTCTGAATCTCTTCTTTTCCAGCATCCTGTGTTTTTCCCTCATTTGCTTGTTCAGTCTCCTGTAATAGCCGTGCACAAGCAAAATCAATATTACTCATCCATGCTTCAGACCCCTCACCACTTAATACAGCTGAAATGCCCCTGGATAACCCCCAAACTATTTTATTTGTTCTGTTTGATTCTTAAGGTTCTTTCTTGCAATAAAACATGGCAATGAAGCACTGTATCCCACTGTTTTGAACTCCTATTCACAGCTGGAATGGCCGCTGGCAATTTCCCCCCCTTATTTCAAAGTCACCCATGATCAAACTCAAAGTGGAGGCTAAGATTTATTCAGATTTGTTTTCTGCAAGGTTCACCGTGGAACCACCGCGGTCCCATTCTTGCAATCGTGCCTGGAGAGAGGGAAGTTTTTCAGTTGAGTTGAAAGGATGCTGCTTTGAAGTTTCCACCAGATTTACAATAGGCTATAAAGTATCAAGGAAAAGCAGGAACTGAAAGCTTTTTATTAGATTTTGGCAGTGGGTTTTGTACAAGGCTGTACTGCCAGCCATTCTGATTGCGTATGAAAACGTCTTGCTTTCACTTGATATTTTACTGCCTTGGGATACTATAACTTAATACAAGACTACAGATGAACAGTTCTCCCGCAACCCTCAACATGAAATCCAGGTTTTACAAGGCAAGTAAAGATGGCCAGGGTTGTTTATCCCTAA